GTGCTGCAGCAGTTAAGCCATTTCCATATCAATGCCTGTCTTTCAGCGTTAATCCCACTGCCTGTATTCAATCACATCGCCCCACCTCTACTACGCCTCTGTTTTGGTCCAATCAAAAGACAAGGCGGGACCTTGGCTTGTATGGGCCAATTACTGTAGTCTATTCCTTTGGTATGCCTTGAAAGGAAAGGGTTGGTGCGTGAGTGAGTGTGTTAACGCTAGCCAGGGGTAGGCAACCTTGGCTCTTTTATGACTCGTGGACTTCAACTCCCAGAATTGCTGGCTGAGGAATTCTGGGAGTTGAAGTCCACGAGTCATAAAAGAGCCAAGGTTGCCTACCCCTGCGCTAGGCGTTTAATGCATAGACCACCGAATGCTGGCATTGTAATAAAAATTATACTTCTGTCAACTCAGATTATGTAAAATAATAATTATATTGTTGAAACATCTAAGTGGCATTAATTAAAGTTTAACGGTGGTTTGCCCTGATATTGGCTGATAATGAGGGAAAGCTTCCGTCGGATGCAGATGGAAAGCGCCCCTTTCTCCTGGTAAAGCGCCTTGGCTGTGAGCTGGGAAGGACGGGAGAACGGTCGTTGCTGAGATTATGAGTCTAGAAGCTAGAGGTGTGGATCTAATTCTGAGTCAAGGGAAAAGCATACTCTACTTTTAAAAAACAAACAATCTTTAGTCTTAAAGACAAAATTTAAAAAAAAATTAAACGTACAAATTAAAAATGCAAACTCGGAAGGGAAAAAACCCTTATATTTTATGCTTACCTATAGTCATTGGTTTACCATTGCTATGTAATTGAACATTACATTAACATCTTTAACATTAAAAGATTTCTCCATATATCAGGTCATATACATTGATGCATCATCCAAAATTTGCTGAATGATCACATTACCACATCAGATGGTTCTCAAATTTTTTATATCTTCAGCATAAAAATCCCATGTTTTCTTTCTACCCGTTTATCTGCCATCCCTAAAAGAGAAGCTTCAGGTTCCAAACCTACTTCATTTTCAAAAAAAATTGAACCAAGATTAATATCTGATTTCAAAATTTCTTAGTCTACTTACATATCCATCAAAGGTTCTAAGAAGTATCTTCAGATTGATTACATTTCCAGCTTTGTACAGTACATCTCTGACAGCTTATCAGTTTAACCCTCCTCTTTCCGTAGTGTCCTAAAACAATTCATTTGTAATCCTTGGTTTTTTGACATGCTACGCACACTTATTATATTTTTGCCTTTGTTTAAATAAAAGATAACTCAGTAGTCATAACTGGTATTGTTTTAAATAGAAACAACATCCTTGGTAAAACATTAATATAACTAATTTTACCTAACATATAGTACTGTGCCAGACCTGCCATAGCTGGATTCCCCAGGAAATAAAGACCCTTGACTCCATTTGGTTGAAGTGATAGATTCTTTTACTAAAGATCAATGGTTGCAGGAAAAGCAAGGCTAGATCTGAGTATTCCCGTGCAAAGATTAATTTTCCCCTTTTCCTGGCCCTCCCCCTTTGACCAGTTTGACTGTGTCCAATAGCATCCTGGTGTGTTGTTTTTGGAACCACTTTGATGTCAGGCGCTTCATGAAGTGGTTTCACATTCGTTTCCCAGGCTAGGAGTCCTTGGGCAGCTGGATTATTCTGGTTTGACATCTATGGTTCCTGTCAGTATATTTCCCTCCCCCCTTTCATCCTTCTTTCCTCCTGCTCAAACTTCCCCAAATCCCTCCCCCCTTCCATTTTTGGCAGGATGCCAACAAAGCAAAGCGGCTGAAAATGGCAGACCTGACACAAAAGTTTTAGGCAGTTGTGCGAAAATGCTATAAATTAAGAATCAGAAATAGACTGTTAATTGATAAAAATAAACTATTAACACAAGTGGAAAGTAAATGAACAGAAGAGAAATCCAAATTAAATCAATAATTATGTGACCACCGTTTGCCTTCAAAACAACATCAATTCTTCTAGGTACACTTGCACACAGCTTTTGAAGGAACTTGGCAAGGTTCCTTCAAGGTTGTTCTAAACATCTTGGAGAACTAACCATGGATATTCTATGGATGTAGGCTGCTTCAAATCCGTCTGTCTCTTCATGTTACCCCAATCTGTGGGGGCCAAATTATCATTTCCAGGACTTCCTATTCTTTATGCTGAAGATAGTCCTTAATGACATTGGCTGTATGTTTGGGGCTGTTATTCTGCTGCTGCAGAATACATTTGGGGCATAGATAAGTATCTACTTGTATTTCTCAGCATTAAGGACATCATTGATCCTGACCAAATCTTCACCTTCATTTGCAGAAATGCGGCAAGGAACCTCCACCATGCTTCACTGTTGCCTGCAAACATTCATTATTGTACCACTCTCTATCCCTTCAGTGAACAAACTGGCTCTTGCTACAGCCAAATATTTCAAATTTTGATTCATCAGTCCAGAGCACGTGCTGCCATTTTTCTGCATCACAATTCTGTTTTTGTGCATAGTTGAGTTGCTTAGCCTTGTTTCCATGCTGGAGGTATGGCTTTTTGGCTACAATTCTTCCATGAACACCACCTGTTGCATTAAGTCAGGGGTCTTCAAACTTGGCCCTTTTGTGACTTGCGGACTTCAACTCCCAGAATTTCTCAGCCAGGCTGGCTGAGGAATTCTGGGAGTTGAAGTCCACAAGTCATAAAAAGGCCAAGTTTGAAGACCCCTGCATTAAGTTTTGTTGGCTGACCACTGTGTCTATGCTCAACATTGCCCGTTTCTTTGTGCTTCTTCAAAATAGCTTGAACAGTACATCTTGAAACCCGTCTGCTTTGAAATCTTTGCCTGGGACTTTGCTGATGCAGTGTAACTACTTTATGTCTTGTTCCTGTGCTCAATTTTGCCATGAAACCATCTTCCACATGCTCACCTTAGTAACCGAGTTTGGCTGTTCCGCACCCCGTTTTAACCTCCTACACAGCTGTTTCTGTTTCAATTAATGACTGTATTTCAACCTACATATGAAATTGATGATCATTAGCACCTGCTTGGTATAATTGGTTAATCATACACTTGAGTCTAACCCTACAAAAACCCTGACTATGTGCAAATGTAAGAATTGATGCTGTTTGGAAGGCAAAGAGTGGTCACATGAAATATTGTTTTGATTTGGATTTTTCTTATGTTCATTTAATTTTCATTTTGATAATTGATAAAAATAATAAACTATTAACACTTCTATTTCTTAAAAGCATTCTTAATTTAAAGCACTTTTGCACAATTGCCTAACACTTTTACACAGTACTGATATTTTTAGTTTATCCCATTTCACAAAATCTTTTTAAATTGCATTTCTGTCAGGACCAGTGCTGGGATTCAGTCAGTTTGCACCACTTTGGCAGAACCAGTAACTAATTTTTTGTTGCCCAGGCCCAGAACGGACTCCCGGAAGCAGCATCCACACAGAGAACCGGTTGTTCACAAATTTGAATCCCATTGGTTAGGACCCACTTCAAAACCTCATCCCAAGAAAGCAGGACTCTTGGAACAGTTTCACTCCAAAAGGAACTTTTATTAGGAGAAGCTGATAGCAGGCATAGAAGGCAGGATCTGAGGGTTTCCCGCTCAGATTAATAGGTTAAAAGAGTCCCAAGCAAACCCCACCCCAATAGTTCATCCGGTCAGTTCGAATGAGCCAATCCCCAGGCTCCGCTGTGGGAACGAAGCTGATAACAGAGTTTGTTCCCAAGCCTGTGAAGACATAGCTGGGTCTTTGCACCTTTCTCTTCCCCAGCGAGAGATAAGACAGATGGCCGGAGGCACATTCCTTTCTCACCCCAAGTTGACAAGGGAGAGACAGTTCAAAGAGCAAGTATGTAGAACCAGCAGAGGATACATTGTAGCAAAGCAAAAGGCACCCCACATAACCTTCCCCCCTCCCCTCAGGAGAATGGCAGAACCCACAGAAAGAAATGAAGAGAAATGAAATAGATCCCTCCCCCAGGAAGGAAATGGGTTCTGACAATTTCACACTTTTCCTTAGGTTTTCTAAAACAGGGGTGTCAAACTGCTGGCCCACAGGCCGGATGCATCACGTGGAAGCCGTGCCCACCCCACCTCCAGCAAGGGGGAAAAAGTCGCGATAAGTCACGACACCTCACGTGATGCGGCGAGTTTGACACCTCTGTTCTAAACTAACATACAATTTTGAGTGGTTAATATTACTCCTAAATATTTATTTTTCCTTTCAATTTTAAAAGCCATGTTTGGATTTAATTTCTCTTGATTTTCTATACTGTTTTTTGATCAATACCTTGGTCTTCTGTTTGTTGACTTTAAAATCAGCTACTTTACTAAAAGTCTTTAACTTCTTCATTAATTGTTCGGGGGGGAACCATTACATATACATTTTGACACTTATTTACATTTTAAGCATCACGGTTTAAAGTTTTTGCTGTGGGAAACACACACTAATCACACTCTATAACAGTGATGGTGGACCTATGGCACGCATGCCAGAGGTGGCACTCAGAGCCTTCTCTGTGGGCACGTGCACCATTGCCCTAGCCCCGCCTCCACCCGTGGAGCAGCAGCCCCCCCGAGGAGAGTTGCCCCCGCACGCAGTCCACACAGAGCAGCACAGCCAAGTGCATGGCAGCCAGGCAGCGGGGACAAGACTCTGGCCTCGCGCCCTGTCACATGCAGATGATGCTGTGGGGCATGGGCGCAGCTGCCATGACACAGCTGGGCTACCTGGGCGATCTGCGGTGGGCCGTGGAGGCGGTGGGTGGCCATGCAGGTGGGCGGGGCGCAGAGGGGGGTGGGCGGGGATGGTTTTGGGGCACTCAGTCTCTAAAAGGTTCGCCATCACTGCTCTATAAGATTTAGACACAAATCACATAAAATTCCAAAATAGGGTTGATGGAAGTTTACAATGAGGAATAAGGTGGAGAAAGGACAAGGTTTGGTCAATCCATATTTCTTCAACATATCTGAAAATTATTTGCTTATTGGTCCAGTAGGTTCACCTGAGAAAAAGAGAAGAAAAAGAATGAGCAGCAGCTATTTATTTAAACAATTTACAGTATAAGGCTACCTATCTTGCTCGTATAACTCCGAGTGGCTCACAAAATATTAAATATACAATAATGCCCCCCCGAAAAAGTATAACAAAAATCCACATCCGTGAACATGAAATTATTCAACTCGGCTACTTAACATGGTGATTAAACACTTAAAAGAATGTCTAGGTCCTTATACAAAATTCTTTACATCAATATTTGTTATCTACAGTATATTAAAATGTAAAGTATATATAGATGATATGTAGTGTCTGTTAGTATAACACATACAGGTATACAGGTAGTCTCAACACTTAGACCCTGAAAAAGCTACTTATGACCCAAATTCAAAATTTCAACATCCGGGCCACCCCCAGGTCATGTTGCCGGGCACTCAGCAACCAGCCCCCATTTACAGTTGTTTGCAGCTCCCTGTAAAAACATGATTTATGATGTTTTTGCTGGAAACTGGTGTTTACTTCCGGTTTCTGGTAAAAATGCCCCATAGCAAACAATACTTTACATAGCAAACAATACTTAATGACCTCTGTGTTTGTGGAGGTCATTGCACTGCAAACCAGGTAATAAAATCAGCTCTGGTCATATGGTAACTTGCTTTATGACCCTCATAACCTATAATAATAATTGTGGGGTTCAATTATGGTTATAATTCGAGGACCTGTATGACATGAATTACCATTAGTTTCATTACACTATATTACCTTAATTGTTTACTTTTGAAGCAGGATGAGCAAATAACGTAGCCTCCAAATCATTCTGCCCACGTTTTATAATAAAATCAGAGCTTTGTGTGAATGATTGGATTTTTCTAAAGAGTTTATTGTTTGTCTTGATCCAAGTAGGTGTAAAATAGAAGTGGTAATCATAGAAAAAGGCTAAGTATACCAGCCCTAATTCCAAAGCTCACTCCTATCACTGATCTTACTGATCAAGCATATTGCCTGCCTTATAGCAATGTAGGTGAACGGGGTCTCACAAATACTTTGCAGAGTGCTGGCAATTGTTTGAAGTGATTCATACGCGCTATCAGTTGTAATTGTTCACTACCTTATAAAGAGGGGGCAGGCTATCTTTTCCCAATGTGGGCAGGGGTTGTTGCCAGTGTCTGGGAAATGCAGTGTACAATGATCAGTGTCATCACAGAAGCGGATAGGACTGACTTGGAGGCAGGTATCAGAATGATTATCATAAGGTGTGCAAAACTTAGGAAAAGATTTCACACACATGCTTTATTTCTTTTTCTTGAAAATGTAAAAGAATGTTGTTCTGTTCACATTCAGAGATTTGTCAGATACATTACTTGGGGAGTGGGGGAGCCCACACGTGGTTTGTGATTTCCTATTATTGCTGTTAAAAAAAGGATTGTTTTTCTCCCTATTACACAGAAGAACTGTGAGTTCATGATAGTGATGAGATGTGAAGAAAGGATTTCCTGATTTGTCACAAAAGAGCTTCAGATTTACCCCCAAACGCCAAGAAAAAATCAGCTGGCTGTTGTCTCTCACTCTACTGCTCCCAAATATCCCAAAATTTAGTGATACAGGTGTAAGAAAAAACACTTACCTGGCTTCAATGTCCTGGGAAGAGGTAGAACTTTTTAATCAGGGTGGTTCTGTCCTTTGAGGGCATCTGACATGGGTTGCTTGCAAAGTGCTGCAACACCTGCAAGATGGAAGGCACAGAAACAAACGCTGGTGAGTGCATGTCCAAATCAGTCACCTAGCCCCATCTAAAAGTTAGTAACCCATAATATATTTTATCCGCTTATACATGCTCACTTTATTAACTAGACATTGTAGAAGAATCAGATTAGACTACAGTAGCCAAAATCAGAAAGAATCAATGGATAACTTTTAAGACTAATGATTCGATCTTAAGGTATAGCTTATTATAGTTATTAGTTGATAGGTGTTTGTAATCTGTCCGATATGGAACCTTCATCTGCATAACCACCTTTCTTTTGCCAGCAACTCATCCCAATCTATTTAAATTCCACATTGATCAGGTGATTCCATGGACCTAATGAAGTGAGTTGCAGTTCACAAAATCTTATACCTTAAAATAAAGTTGTTAGTCTTAAAAGGTCTTGCAAGACTCTTATGACTTTACTAATTAGGAATACATAATTCATTCTTAAGGGACTAGGAAGAGGTAGAGAAACCCTTAGAGACTGATGGAGAGCAAGAGTTAGGACTCTTCCCCCCCCCCAAAAAAAACACAAGTAATGTTGCTTTCCACTAGACCAGGGGTAGGCAACCTTGGCTCTTCTTCAACTCCCAGAATTCCTGAGCCAGCCATGCTGAGGGGAAAGGGAGAGGTTTCCAAGCTGAGCCATGCTGGCTCAGGAATTCTGGGAATTGAAGTCCATGAGTCATAAAAGAGCCAAGGTTGCCTACCCCTGCACTACTAGACTAACTATAACTCCAACTCCTGTTTTCCTGTGCATGCTCCATAAGTCCAGGAGAGTAATAATGATTGTGGGTCCAGAGGCATTAGATGCTCTTTCGAAATGCTTTCTAGCAATAGCAGTCTACTCAGATGTTGCTTCCAAGTAAATAGCAATCTGAATTTAGCTAATCTGATTCAGACAGGAATATAGATCAATCTGATCATTCAGCGCCAGAAATCTTGTCTTTGCCCCATGGGCCACAATAACCAGCTGTCCAAATGCTTGCCTTGTTTATCAGGAGTGATTACAATATCCATTTTTATCTTTCTCTTTTCTTAAACTCTTTTCTGCATGGAATGGTTTTGTTATGATGTTGAATCTTGGACAGTCGATAGATTTGCTTTTAGTGCCTGGCTGGTGGATTTTGGCTAGAAGCAAGTTCGTTCGTTCGTTCGTTCGTTCGTTCGTTCGTTCGTTCGTTCTATCTATCTATCTATCTATCTATCTATCTATCTATCTATCTATCTATCTATCTATCTATCTATCTATCTATCTATCTATCTATCTATCTATCTATCTATCTGTGAAGCAGTGACTCTGCTGATATGATGGAATGCTTAACAGACCTTGAAACACAGAGGAGGCAGCAAGATCTTAAGGTAGGAAATGGGTCTGTTACAAAAGACATTTTTGAACAGGAGGGAAGCATGAAAAGCAGACTCAGAGTAACTCCATCTTAAGTATGTCTAAGTATATTTAACCATATAGTATGGCTGTATTACTATCTGTTCCACTACCTTCTCTTATTAGTATCATTATTGTGATTATTATTACAGGTAGTCCTCGACTTACAACAGTTTGTTTAGGGACTATTCAAGGTTACAATGGCACTGAAAAAAGTGACGTATGACCATTTTCCACACTTACAATCTTTGTAGCATTCCCCATGATCATGTGATCAAAATTCAAAGGCTTAGCAACTGACTCATACTTATGACCGTTGGTGTGTCCAAGGTCATGTGATCACCTTTTGCAACCATTTGACAAGCAAAATCAATGGGGAAGTCAGATTCACATAACAACCGTGTCACTTATTTATCAACTGCAGTGATTCGCTTAACAACTGTGGCAAGAAAGATAAAATGGGGTAAAATTCACTTAACAAATGTCTCACTTAACATTAGAAATTTTGGGCTCAGTTGTGGTAGTAAGTCAAGGAGTACCTGTACTTTGTTATTTTGATTACTTTGTTGTTTTGCATGTACACTGAGAGCTTATGCACTGGAGACAAATTCCTTGTGTGTCTCATACTTGGCCAAATAAAGTATTCTTTCTCTTTCTTTTCCTTATTCTATTCTATTCTATTCTATTCTATTCTATTCTATTCTATTCTACAGATAGTCCTCGACTTACGACCACAATTGAGCCCAAAATGTATGTTGCTAAGTGAGACATTTGTTAAGTGAGTTTTGCCACATTTTATGATCTTTCTTACCACTGTTGTTAAGTGAATCATTGCAATTGTTAAATTAGTAACATCGTTGTTAAGTTAATCTGGTTTCCCCATTGGCTTTGCTTGTCAGAAAGTAACAAAAGGTGATCACATGACCCCAAGATACTATATTCACCATAAATATGAACCAGCTGTCAAGCTGGATAAAGAAGGGATGCAAAAGCTTGAAGGACAGTTCAGAACCATCACAGAATTAAGGTACCCTGGATTATGTTCTCAAAGGATTTTTTTTTATTTGTAGTGAGTAGCAATAAGTTTAATGTCTAGATATTTCTAAAGCTATTTAATCATTAGTGAGTTGAATACTATGGATAATTTTGATCAGATCCAATTATAAAATTGATGACATGAAAGCAGTTCTTTGTTTGCTTTCCTCCAATTGGATGTCTTGCTGGCTAGAATTATGGGAGTTGAAAACCAAGATTTTTGAAGGTGAGGGAAGAAGGGAGTTGATGCAAAAAAAGAGAGAGGCTTTTGTTCCTTTTTTGCCTACCAAAATATTTTGCCCACCAGCAAATTTTGTTTTATTTTATGCTCACCATAATTACAAAAAGGAAATCTTCAAACACAATTTACATGATAAATCTATGCAACATTCTTGCAGCTGAATTGTTGAATGATAGAAGTTTGCAGAATCTGCCTACATTCTTCCATTTCTTTATGGACTCTAAGTTTTTGAACATGAGATTTAATTACTAATGGCAGGAAAAAAGGAACAGAAGCTAAAAATATATGATTTAGGGCCACTAATAGCATTGGTTATTATATATCACTTCACAGTGCTTTACAGTCCTCGCTGAATGATTTACAGAGTCAGCATATTGCCCCCAACAATCTGGGTCCTCATTTTACTGACCTTGGAAGGATGGAAGGCTGAGTCAACCTTGAGCCGGTTAGGATCGAACTCCCAGCATTGAGCTCAATTAGCCTGCAATACTACATTTTAACCACTGGACCACCATGGCTCCTAATTCCAAAGGGCCTATGACAATTTGATGCGGCCAACTCACCACGGCCAACTAGCGTGGGACAACTCACTGTGGGACAAGTTATACTAATATGAAAGAAATGATGGAACAAAATAGAATGAAATGTGAATGACAAAAATATTTTTTTTTGGTTATTATTATTTTAAATAATTAAATTGAATTGTTAAATTGTCCCGCAGCGAGTTGGCCATGGTGAGTTGGCCGCAGCAAGTTGGCTGTGGTAAGTTGTCATTCCAATTCCAAAGTAGGTCTTTAATAAAAGAACTTCATTCCAAACATGAGCCTTGTGTTGAAAGACTACCTTCCGGAAGACCTCTTCCAAATTGCAATTCCAGGCATGTTTCTTGATAGTATCTATTAGCTGGGTGATGAAGAGTGATCCAGTTTTAGTGTCTCTCCAGGATAGATGATCTAAACAGACAATGATTAAGCAATTATTCTTCACGATGTCAGACTTCATTCTCTACTTAAGAAATTTTAAACCTATACAGATAGTCTTCGACCTATGACAGTAATAGAGCCTGCCCTTTACAGTCGCAAGTGATGATGGCCATTAAGCAAGATGGCCTCACTTAACAACTAGCATCCCCTGCTCTCCCTGATGCAGTCATTAAATGAACATGTGGGTCGTTAAACAGAGCAGAGCTTCAGGGGTGAGGAAGGCCCTGAGAGATCTAATGCAGACCCTAGCCACTTGCCTTCGGCATCCCAAGACCTCCCTCACCTCTAAGTTACCCTATCGTCCTGCCCCTCATCATCCTTACAGCCCTTGAGCCTCCTTCCCTCCTTCCCCAGGTTACCACAGGCTTTCCCCAGGACCCCACAGGGCTTGGGCTCCACCCCACCTCTCATTATCCATTTACTTTTTGAAGATCTCTAAAGGTTTTCTCAGTGCTGTACAGATCACATTAGGGAAGCAGAATGGAGCGCTCTTAAAAGAAAATTGCTAAGAAGCGGTCCAAAGCAGGACAGAAATTATAAGAATTGCTGCCTTAGCAATACAGGCATTTAGTTGACAAAGCTGTCTGTCAAAGATTGGCAACCAATCAGTTAAGAAAACCTGATCTGGTCCTCTTTTCTAAGTATCAAAAATTCTCTGGCAGGCTCGCTGCAAAAGGCCTAGTCATTCATTCAGTCTACAATAAATTGTGGGTGTGCTGAGTTGTAGATGTGCTAAAACTGGCAGCTACGTCCCAGAGGCAGCCATGCAGCCAGGGATGAGTGGCCTGCCCTCCTTCCCCAATACGAGGTCTGGAGATCTTCAAAAGGTAAGTGTACGATGGATATGAGTAGGTAGGGAGCAGGCCCAAGGCCTATGGGGACTTAGCAGAGTGGCCTGGATAACTTTTGGTTCAGTTACTATACAATGGGGTTAGTTCATACTACATATGGTACTCATCTTTGTTCGTGCTGATCAGATTTCTGGTAGCTTACCTTATTAGGCAGACTCAATCTATTTGGGTGGGATGTGGTTCAATGTATTGTCAAATCCCCAAATCTATCTACCTCACAGGGTTGTTGTGGTGGTGAAAAAGAGGAGGAAGGAGTATTACTATGTTCTTTGCCGTGAGTTACTTACAAAATAAAAGTGGGATTAAAAATCTAATAAATGAATGAATGAATGAATGAATAAATGATTAGGCCTTTTGCAGCAAGCATGCCAGAGAATTTCTGGTACTTAGAAAAGACGTCCAGATCAGGTTTTCTTAACTGATTGGTTGCCAAGCTTTGACATACAGCTTTGTCAACTAAATGCCTTCTCATTTCTGTCCTGCTTTGGACCCTACTTAACAATTTTCTTTTAAGAGTCTCTTACCAGGGGTGGTGGAATATAGGCAGATGAAGTCACTCTCCACATGGATTTTCTGAACGGCATCAGTCTGCAACTGCTTGGTGCATGAATCAGACTGGAGAGAGGCAGGAGCAGATGTAGCTGAGTCCTCCTCAGTTTCCATCCTATACCCATGTTCCTCTGGAGAAAAAAATGGGGGAATCAACAATTATCATCAAAAGCCTCTGACAGAACAGAGGTTACTCACACATGGCTTTATGTTCACCACAAAAGTACAGCATAGCCTTTGATTCCTGACAGGGTTCAATGAGGTAAACTCCCAAGGTTTAAGATAAGGTCCAAAGTTAGTTTTTCCCAACTACTGTATTGCCATTTATGAAAAGTCATGATCCCAACACACTTGAATATTATTCAAACAGATCTTGTGGAGATGAATACAATAAGCAGTAAATATCTACAAATCAGTTTGCTAAAAGCAGATGTTGGTCTTCTAGAGCAGAGGTGGGGAAATAGGGTCCCTTTATGACTTGTGGACTTCAACTCCCAGAATTCCTGAGGCAGTATGGCTGCTCAGGAATTCTGGAAGTTGAAGTCATAAAAGGGCCATAGTTCCCCACCTCGGTCTAGAGCACGGGTGTCAAATTCGCCACGTCACGTGACGTACCACGACTCTTTTTGCATTGCCAGCAATGGGTGGATGCGGCTTCAGTATGATGAAACCAGCCTGCAGGCTGGCAATTTGACACCCCAGTCTAGAGGTTGCTTTGTCTAGTTAAGACCAACAGTTCCTGCAAGAGGCTATATATTCCTGCCAAACATTTGTCTGCCTTCTCCCCTTCCAGATCTCAACTTCAGCAACCTACCACCACGACATGCTTGAAGAATGACCACCTTGGGCTTTCCCCTCAAAGCTGGGCAATTTATGTTGTTGAAGGTGGAGAAGATAGTTTTAATGGAGAAGATGTCAGACTGTTTGTCTTCTGAATTGACTCCATAAAGGCTGTCCAGATGGCCATGAGACATGAGTACCACAAACATCCCATCTGAAGTCTTGTGTTCTTTCCGAGCTGCAAAATTCTTCAAGCAAGTGGTTATTTCCTGAAAGCAAAGAAAGGGGAAGGTGGGTCAGGAGTGGAAGTGCAGTTTCTAGCTAACTCTGCACTCATTATTAAAATTGAGAAGAATGGGGATACCTTCTTGCAATTGCACTATATTTTAATATTATTCAAGCTTAGGAAAAATTCAATGCAGAAACAATTTCCAGCTTTCTAGATCTGAATGGGAGGGCTGTGCAGCAAATCTCCATATGTGAGATTTGTGAACACCATCACAAATCTCCAATATGGAGATGGGGGGGGGGGGCGGGCGGGGAAGGGCCTATCTTCATGGCTGAATGGAAGGCTGACCTCATCATGCCCTCCAAAAGAAAACACTCTGGCCAATATCCTCAGTGGAAAGTTAGCATCCTCAACTGTTTTTTGGAGAAACAATTATGGGAGATGAAAAAGAAACAATATGCTGGCATTTGAAATTGAAAAAGGTAGTGCAGGAGAGCAAGTTCAATTATCAATCCAGACATATATTTTCCTTATACCAAATTAGGTATAAACAACTTGGTAACCTACAGTTCTTTGGAGTTGAGGTCCCATCAACTCCAACCAGCATGGCCATAAGCCAAGACTTGCTGGGTTTATAATTTAAAACATCCACAAGGTATTAGATTATCAGCGTCTGTGCTAAATATTATTGTATAAATAGCAGTTTAACAAGATTGCCATGCTTTATTCAGTTTTGAAGCTGCTAGGTCCACCCACTGTGGGCGACTAGAGTTAATACACATACTGTATTAAAGGGCAAAATCAAGACCTCCACGGTCTCTTCCAACTCTATTATTCTATTTTATTCTATTCTATTCTATTCTATTCCATGAATGTTTAGCTTTCACTTAAAGTCACTAGATTTTTTTCCCTTGAGTAAAAAATTGAATTTTACTCTATATTTATTTATTTATTTATTTATTTATTTATTTATTTATTTATTAAATTTATATCCCGCCCTTCTCCTTGCGGACTCAGGGCGGCTGACAATCAATTAAAAATACATAAATAACAATTACAGAGTTAAAATTAATTAAAAAGAAATATTTAAATATTGTCTAATTAAAATATGATTAAAACCCCTCTAAAAATTGCCCTAGGCCAGTCCCGCTTGTNTTCCATGGACCTAATGAAGTGAGTTGCAGTTCACAAAATCTTATACCTTAAAATAAAGTTGTTAGTCTTAAAAGGTCTTGCAAGACTCTTATGACTTTACTAATTAGGAATACATAATTCATTCTTAAGGGACTAGGAAGAGGTAGAGAAACCCTTAGAGACTGATGGAGAGCAAGAGTTAGGACTCTTCCCCCCCCCCCCAAAAAAAACACAAGTAATGTTGCTTTCCACTAGACCAGGGGTAGGCAACCTTGGCTCTTCTTCAACTCCCAGAATTCCTGAGCCAGCCATGCTGAGGGGAAAGGGAGAGGTTTCCAAGCTGAGCCATGCTGGCTCAGGAATTCTGGGAATTGAAGTCCACGAGTCATAAAAGAGCCAAGGTTGCCTACCCCTGCAGTACTAGACTAACTATAACTCCAACTCCTGTTTTCCTGTGCATGCTCCATAAGTCCAGGAGAGTAATAATGATTGTGGGTCCAGAGGCATTAGATGCTCTTTTGAAATGCTTTCTAGCAATAGCAGTCTACTCAGATGTTGCTTCCAAGTAAACAGCAATCTGAACTTAGCTAATCTGATTCAGACAGGAATATAGATCAATCTGATCATTCAGTGCCAGAAATCTTGTCTTTGCCCCATGGGCCACAATAACTAGCTGTCCAAATGCTTGCCTTGTTTATCAGGAGTGATTACAATATCCATTTTTATCTTTCTCTTTTCTTAAACTCTTTTCTGCATGGAATGCTTTTGTTATGATGTTGAATCTTGGACAGTCGATAGATTTGCTTTTACTGCCTGGCTGGTAGATTTTGGCTAGAAGGAAGAGTCGGCAAGTTCTATCTATCTATCTATCTATCTGTGAAGCAGTGACTCTGCTGATATGATGGAATGCTTAACAGACCTTGAAACACAGGGGAGGCAGCAAGATCTTAAGGTAGGAAATGGGTCTGTTACAAAAGACATTTTTGAACAGGAGGGAAGCATGAAAAGCAGACTCAGAGTAACTCCATCTTAAGTATGTCTAAGTATATTTAACCATATAGTATGGCTGTATTACTATCTGTTCCACTACCTTCTCTTATTAGTATCATTATTGTGATTATTATTACAGGTAATCCTCGACTTACAACAGTTTGTTTTGGGACTGTTCAAGGTTACAATGGCACTGAAAAAAGTGACGTATGACCATTTTCCACACTTACAATCTTTGTAGCATTCCCCATGATCATGTGATCAAAATTCAAAGGCTTAGCAACTGACTCATACTTATGACCGTTGCTGTGTCCAAGGTCATGTGATCACCTTTTGCAACCATTTGACAAGCAAAATCAATGGGGAAGTCAGATTCACATAACAACCGTGTCACTTATTTATCAACTGCAGTGATTCACTTAACAACTGTGGCAAGAAAGATAAAATGGGGTAAAATTCACTTAACAAATGTCTCATTTAACATTAGAAATTTTGGGCTCAATTGTGGTAGTAAGTCAAGGAGTACCTGTACTTTGTTATTTTGATTACTTTGTTGTTTTGCATGTACACTGAGAGCTTATGCACTGGAGACAAATTCCTTGTGTGTCTCATACTTGGCCAAATAAAGTATTCTTTCTCTTTCTCTTCCTTATTCTATTCTATTCTATTCTATTCTATTCTATTCTACAGATAGTCCTCGACTTACGACCACAATTGAGCCCAAAATTTATGTTGCTAAGTGAGACATTTGTTAAGTGAGTTTTGCCACATTTTATGATCTTTCTTACCACTGTTGTTAAGTGAATCATTGCAATTGTTAAATTAGTAACACCATTGTTAAGTTAATCTGGTTTCCCCATTGGCTTTGCTTGTCAGAAAGTCACAAAAGGTGATCACATGACCCCAAGATACTACATTCACCATAAATATGAACCAGCTGTCACAGAATTAAGGTACCCTGGATTATGTTCTCAAAGGATTTTTTTTATTTGTAGTGAGTAGCAATAAGTTTAATGACTAGATATTTCTAAAGCTATTTAATCATTAGTGAGTTGAATACTATGGATAATTTTGATCAGATCCAATTATAAAATTGATGACATGAAAGCAGTTCTTTGTTAGCTTTCCTCCAATTGGATGTCTTGCTGGCTAGAATTATGGGAATTGAAAACCAAGATTTTTGAAGGTGAGGGAAGAAGGGAGTTGATGCAAAAAAGAGAGAGGCTTTTGTTCCTTTTTTGCCTACCAAAATATTTTGCCCACCAGCAAATTTTGTTTTATTTTATGCTCACCATAATTACAAAAAGGAAATCTTCAAACACAATTTACATGATAAATCTATGCAACATTCTTGCAGCTGAATTGTTGAATGATAGAAGTTTGCAGAATCTGCCTACATTCTTCCATTTCTTTATGGACTCTACGTTTTTGAACATGAGATTTAATTACTAATGGCAGGAAAAAAGGAACAGAAGCTAAAAATATATGATTTAGGGCCACTAATAGCATTGGTTATTATATATCACTTCACAGTGCTTTACAGTCCTCGCTAAATGATTTACAGAGTCAGCATATTGCCCCCAACAATCTGGGTCCTCATTTTACTGACCTTGGAAGGATGGAAGGCTGAGTCAACCTTGAGCCGGTTAGGATCGAACTCCCAGCATTGAGCTCAATTAGCCTGCAATACTGCATTTTAACCACTGGACCACCATGGCTCCTAATTCCAAAGGGGCCTATGACAATTTGCTGCGGCCAACTCACCACGACCAACTAGCGTGGGACAACTCACTGTGGGACAAGTTATACTAATATGAAAGAAATGATGGAACAAAATAGAATGAAATGTGAATGACAAAAAAATTTTTTTGGGTTATTATTATTTTAAATAATTAAATTGAATTGTTAACTTGTCCCGCAGCGAGTTGGCCATGGTGAGTTGGCCGCAGCAAGTTGGCTGTGGTAAGTCGTCATTCCAATTCCAAAGTAGGTCTTTAATAAAAGAACTTCATTCCAAACATGAGCCTTGTGTAGAAAGACTACCTTCCGGAAGACCTCTTCCAAATTGCAATTCCAGGCATGTTTCTTGATAGTATCTATTAGCTGGGTGATGAAGAATGATCCAGTTTTAGTGTCTCTCCAGGATAGATGATCTAAACAGACAATGATTAAGCAATTATTCTTCACGATGTCAGACTTCATTCTCTACTTAAGAAATTTTAAACCTATACAGATAGTCTTCGACCTATGACAGGAATAGAGCCTGCCCTTTACAGTCGCAAGTGATGATGGCCATTAAGCAAGATGGCCTCACTTAACAACTAGCATCCCCTGCACTCCCTGATGCAGTCGTTAAATGAACATGTGGGTCGTTAAACAGAGCAGAGCTTCAGGATGGGGAAGGCCCTGAGAGATCTAATGCAGACCCCAGCCCACTTGCCTTCGGCGTCCCAAGACCTCCCCCACCTCTAAGTTACCCTATCGTCCTGCCCATCATCCTTACAGCCCTTGGGCCTCCTTCCCCCCTTCCCCAGGTTACCACAGGCTTTCCCCAGGACCCCGCAGGGCTTGGGCTCCATCCCACCTCTCATTATCCATTTACCTTTTGAAGATCTCTAAAGGTTTTCTCAGTGCTGTACAGATCACATTAGGGAAGCAGAATGGAGTGCTCTTAAAAGAAAATTGCTAAGAAGCGGTCCAAAGCAGGACAGAAATGGTAAGAATTGCTGCCTTAGCAATACAGGCATTTAGTTGACAAAGCTGTCTGTCAAAGATTGGCAACCAATCAGTTAAGAAAACCTGATCTGGACCTCTTTTCTAAGTATCAGAAATTCTCTGGCAGGCTCGCTACAAAAGGCCTAGTCATTCATTCAGTCTACAATAAATTGTGGGTGTGCTGAGTTGTAGGTGTGCTAAAAATGGCAGCTATGTCCCAGAGGCAGCCATGCAGCCAGGGATGAGTGGCCTGCCCTCCTTCCCCAATACGAGGTCTGGAGATCTTCAAAAGGTAAGTGTACGATGGATATGAGTAGGTAGGGAGCAGGCCCAAGGCCTATGGGGACTTAGCAGGGTGGCCTGGATAACTTTTGGTTCAGTTACTATACAATGGGGTTAGTTCATACTACATATGGTACTCATCTTTGTTCGTGCTGATCAGATTTCTGGTAGCTTACCTTATTAGGCAGACTCAATCTCTTTGGGTGGGATGTGGTTCAATGTATTGTCAAATCCCCAAATCTATCTACCTCACAGGGTTGTTGTGGTGATGAAAAAGAGGAGGAAGGAGTATTACTATGTTCTTTGCCGTGAGTTACTTACAAAATAAAAGTGGGATTAAAAATCTAATAAATGAATGAATGAATGACTGAATAAATGATTAGGCCTTTTGCAGCAAGCATGCCAGAGAATTTTTGGTACTTAGAAAAGACGTCCAGATCAGTTTTTCTTAACTGATTGGGTGCCAAGCTTTGACAGACAGCTTTGTCAACTAAATGCCTTTCCTTCTCATTTCTGTCCTGCTTTGGACCCTACTTAGCAATTTTCTTTTAAGAGTCTCTTACCAGGGGTGGTGGAATATAGGCAGATGAAGTCACTCTCCACATGGATTTTCTGAACGGCATCAGTCTGCAACTGCTTGGTGCATGAATCAGACTGGAGAGAGGCAGGAGCAGATGTAGCTGAGTCTTCCTCAGTTTCCATCCTATACCCATTTTCCTCTGGAGAAAAAAATGGGGGAATCAACAATTATCATCAAAAGCCTCTGACAGAACAGAGGTTCTCACACATGGCTTTATGTTCACCACAAAAGTACAGCATAGCCTTTGGTTCCTGACAGGGTTCAATGAGGTGAACTCCCAAGGTTTAAGATAAGGTTCAAAGTTAGTTTTTCCCAACTATTGTATTGCCATTTATGAAAAGTCATGATCCCAACACACTGGAATATTATTCAAACAGATCTTGTGGAGATGAATACAATAAGCAGTAAATATCTACAAATCAGTTTGCTAAAAGCAGATGTTGGTCTTCTAGTGCAGGGCTTTTCAACCAGTGGTACGGGTACCACCTGTGGTACATTGGCACCTGGCAGGTGGTACGCGACCATCCTAGAAAAGTGGTAGCGGGGGAGGGGAATGAGCTGAAGCGGTGGCAGCACCGCACAAGCCTGAGTGAGAGATGGCTGGAGCTGTAGGGCTCAGCGGAAGCGCCAGGATCAGTGCCGTTTTCCAGCTGATCGGCGCTTCTTCGGGGCTGTCAGGGCTCAGCGGAAGCACCAGCATCAGCGCCAGGCTCCAGCTGGAGCTCGGTGCTGATCTTGGTGCTTCTGCTGAGCCCAGAAGCGCTGATCAGCTGTAATGTTGCAGCATCTTCAGGGTCTTGTGATTTACATTCAGATGCTTGGCAACTGATTTATATTTATGACGGTCACAGTGTCCCAGGGTCATGTGAAGTGACCAAAACCTGCTGCAACCACCCAGCAGACGGGGGGAATAAAAACCAAACACCCCCCTCACCCCACCCCCGCTGCCAATTCTCAACAGAAATGCTCACAACAATGAAAACCTCGGACAGGAGGAAGAGCGCCACTGGGTGGCAGGCAGGTGTCTTGCTCGGCTGTGGCTTGGGAGGCACTTTTTTCAGTGCTGTTGTAACTTCAAACAGTCACTAAGCAAACTGTTGTAAGTCGAGGACTACCTGTACTTTATCACTTTTTTTCTTTTTTTGGGGGGGGGGTCATCAAGTTTTTGACATCTTGCTAGGCAACTGGTGGTACTCGGATATTGCCATATCCTAAAAGTGGTACAATGGGTGAAAAGGTTGAAAAGCCCTGTTCTAGAGCAGAGGTGGGGAAATAGGGTCCCTTTATGACTTGTGGACTTCAAATCCCAGAATTCCTGAGGCAGTATGGCTGCTCAGGAATTCTGGGAGTTGAAGCCCAGAAGTCATAAAAGGGCCATAATTCCCTACCTCGGTCTAGAGTATGGGTGTCAAACTCGCCACATCACGTGACGTACCATGACTCTTTTTGCATTACCGGCAATGGGTGGGCGCGGTTTCAGTATGATGAAACCAGCCCGCGGGCCGGCAATTTGACACCCCAGTCTAGAGGTTGCTTTGTCTAGTTAAGACCAACAGTTCCTGCAAGAGGCAAACATTTGTCTGCCTTCTCCCCTCCCAGATCTCAAGTTCAGCAACCTACCACCACGACATGCTTGAAGAACGACCACCTTGGGCTTTCCCCTCAAAGCTGGGCAATTTATGTTGTTGAAGGTGGAGAAGATAGTTTTGATGAAGAAGATGTCAGAGTGTTTGTCTTTTGAATTGACTCCACAAAGGCTGTCCAGATGGCCATGAGACATGAGTACCACAAACATCCCATCTGAAGTCTTGTGTTCTCCCCGAGCTGCAAAATTCTTCAAGCAAGTGGTTATTTCCTGAAAGCAAAGAAAGGGGAAGGCAGGTCAGGAGTGGAAGTGCAGTTTCTAGCTAACTCTGCACTCATTATTAAAATTGAGAAGAATGGGGATACTTCTTGCAATTGCACTATATTTTAATATTATTCAAGCTTAGGAAAAATTCAATGCAGAAACAATTTCCAGCTTTCTCTTTCTAGATCTGAATGGGAGGGCTGTGCAGCAAATCTCCATATGTGAGATTTGTGAACACCATCACAAATCTCCAATATGGAGATGGGGGGAGGGGGGCGAAGAAGGGCCTATCTTCATGGCTGAATGGAAGGCTGACCTCATCATGCCCTCCAAAAGAAAACACTCTGGCCAATATCCTCAGTGGAAAGTTAGCATCCTCAACTGTTTTTTGGAGAAACAATTATGGGAGATGAAAAAGAAACAATATGCTGGCATTTGAAATTGAAAAAGGTAGTCCAGGAGAGCAAGTTCAATTATCAATCCAGACGTATTTTTTTCCTTATACTAAATTAGGTATAAACAACTTGGTAACCTACAGTTCTTTGGAGTTGAGGGTCCCATCAACTCCAACCAGCATGGCCATGAGCCAAGACTTGCTGGGTTTATAATTTAAAACATCCGCAAGGTATTAGATTATCAGTGTCTGTGCTAAATATTATTGTATAGATAGCAGTTTAACAAGATTGCCATGCTTTATTCAGTTTTGAAGCTGCTAGGTCCAACTGACTGTGGGCGACTAGAGTTAATAGACATACCGTATTAAAGGGCAAAATCAAGACCTCAAAGGTCCCTTCCAACTCTATTATTCTATTCTATTCTATTCTATTCTATTCTATTCTATTCTATTCTATTCCATTCCTTGAATGTTTAGCTTTCACTTAAAGTCACTAGATTTTTTTTCCTTGAGTAACAAATTGAATTTTACTTTATAAACGTAACTTTTTTTTTACCTGTGAGTTTAAATTGGTCATTATTTCCACTTTGTATCCCAGATCTTCTAGGAGAAGCGTCATCTGTTCCAAGTCTACCTCAGCCCCCTTTCTAAATTTCAAGTGATCGAATTTGATATTGCAGATGATCAAAGCCAGGCGTGTACGAGTCCTGGGATCATTGATAGGGTAGATCTGCATAGGAAAACAAAAGTGATTCGCATCCTGAACTATAGTTATGCCAAGCATTCATTTATTTAGGGCTCTTCCAATTCTTATTAATCTTAGTCAGTGGTGGGGGATCCTGGAAACTATTTCAGTAGCATCTGAATGATCTTATTGGCACTGCAAAATCTACAAACAAGGCTGAAAAATACAATGGTTTTGCTATTACTCAGAATTTAGTGTTTAGGGATTATTTGAATCTAAAGATGTATTCCACTTAACCATAAAAATAAAATTGTTAAACCAGACCCAAAATAGTCTGACTTCCAGTTTGCTATAGTGGGTGGCTAGGTACTTGAGGAAACCCACAAACCTGATTTGAAGGCAAGATTTCCCTTTCCTTCCCCTTCATGTAACCAGCAGCAAATATTCAGAGGACATGGCAATTCTATGAAGCCACAGAGTCCATGAGTTGTCTACTTTTAAAGCTAATGAAGGTATTGTGGTCACATTATATTTAAAGGTCCCTTAGTTTCATGTTTTATTTGTTGTTAGATATAGAACAGAGGAATCCCAACTCATTTTTCTGCTTTAGAAATAAAACAAGGTAATATTTCCAAAAGCCAGGATGAGGAGAATTTAAGAAATATTCAAAATTCCTGCTACAAAAGATGAATTTTCAGTTCACATCTGTGGCTATCCTTTACAGCAGCTACTGAATGAAATGAAGTGCAGTATTTAAGCTCAAGTCTTGGATAGATCTAACTAGGTCTGCCAACTCACCTCGGTGCCTTCTGTAGTCTGTATTTGCTGAAATACATTCTGAGGACAAAGCCTGACCCCGTTTTTAGATTCCAGGAACTGGACTTCTTCCTTTGAGATGTTACCTTCTATTGGCTGGACAACTGGAGATGGGAGGAAAGTTGAACACGTCTAAGTCGAAAAAATGGTGTCACTTAATAATTTATAGTGAACCCAGTCGAAGTCTGGAAAATTTAACGATTTAATGTCAGGGATCGTCGGGTAGTTTTCCCGTGACCCTTAACATTATGTTGTAGTGTCCCTGTGAACAAAAGAACAGTCGATGTTCTCTTGATTTTAGTGAATCATTAATCGTTCAGACCCGGGACAGAAAGAGCATGTCCTCCTGCTCATTGGCTCCACTGCCATAGCAGATCTAAAAAATATGCAAAAAATTAAGCAACATGAATAGAGCTGCTGGCAAAGGATAGCTGTGAAGATCTTGGCCTTTCCTCCACATTGCTGGTCTCCAAGAAAGCCTTCAAGATGCTAACGAGAAACCTAGCAGATAACTTAACACCCAACCTGAAGCCTACCAGCCTTTCTGATTCTCATAGCCTAACTTCAGACCTATCCCTTCAAATTATTCATTTAAGAAAATGTATATGGCTGCCCAACTCAGTTGAAATGAGCAATTGACAAAATCACACGAGAATGTTCTCACACAATTTTTGGAGGTTTCAGAGGCCCTGTAAGAATAAGGCCTTCTCACATGACTTCCAGAGGGTCCAGAAGCTGCGTAAGAGCACACCACAATCTGATGTGGCCTCTGCAGCCTCCAAAAAGCATGGAAAATTCTCACATGATTTTTCAGAGGTTCCAGACACTGCACAAGAATATACTCTCACATGACCTCCGGACCCTCTGGAAATCGTGAAAGAGGACTCTGTTCTCATGCAGATTCTGGAGCCTCCAAAAAGGGTACAAGAACGAGACATGCTTTCCTGTTCTTTTCAGAACAGGCCACGCAAGACAATTCTCTAAAGTTTCCAGGTCTCATGTGACCTCAGATAGAGAGACAAAGACAAATCGAAAAATGTTTACAATTATGTGAGTTTTTATTTATTTATTTATTACATTTATGTGCTGCCCATTTCACTATCCAAAGCAACACTTTGTTAAGAATTGTTTTTCCTTTGTCCGATGGGGAGGGCGTGACACACCAACAGAGTCAAGTTAGGCTTTTTCTGAATTTTTGACACGCCGAGCCCAAAATGTTCGCCATCACTGTCCTAATCCAAAAAAAAAAAAAAAATTAAGGGAGAATTTTTATAAGATACAATGAAGCTAATTAAAAATTGGAAGGCACCCAAATTTCATCTTAGTATATACTGTAGAAATGTTCTTATGAATGTGCTACTAAAAAAACAGAAATACCATCTTATGATAAAGTTTCCTTTCAAAATGAGTTATTACACCAATGTGGCCAAACCTAACCAGCCCAAACACTTTGGGGCACAACACACAGCCTTTGCATGGTTCTGGGCCACAGCAACTAAATTCGGGAGGAAGGCTAGTCATTTTGGCTCAAAGCTAGATGATATGCTATAAGATCACAAGTACCAGCAGGAAAGTTTTGGAGATCCAGTTGTTCAGCTAAGAAAGCATCTCGGGTCTGGAGGAAGACAATAAAGCGCCGGCTAGCTTCAGGCCCTTTTCTTCTCACATTATCGATCAACATTCTTGCTTGGTCCTGCCTCTTATCTTTCGTATTCACTTCTTCCAGCTCTTCATCCTCCATGATTCTCTCACGGAGCAGATCATCCAAGAGCTGGCTGATGATAGCTTTGTTAATACGCTTTATAAACTCTGTGCGCACATCCTCCAACCTCTGATCTGTAAGGAAAGCAAGTGCATTTTTCTAAATTTATCACACTGACTTGAAGAATTACAATTTTACTGAGATCCACTTACATTCTTTTCGTGTCGATTCAAAGTTACAACAGCCTTGGAACAAGTGGCTTATGACCTGCATTCGAATTTACAATTGTTGAACAACCTTTGCACTCATGGGGTTGCAGTTCGGGCAATTGGCAACCTGCTTGCATTTACAATTGGTTGCAGCATCCTGCAGTCAAGGGATAGTAATTTGCAACCTTTTTTTTTTGCTAATTTCTGGCAAAAAAAATGCCCATTGGAGAAGCTGGATTTGTTTAATGACCACATTATTTGCTTAACCACCACCATAAAAATCAGGCCTGACTCAACTTATAAATGCAATGACTTATGATAGAAATTATGGTCCCAATTGGGTTTGTAGCCGAGGACTACCTGTAATTTGTAGTGCTGACTCTTAGATTAACATCTTACTGTAGCTATTTATATACTGGGTGTCTACTATTTATATACTGGGTGTCTACTCTCACTGTAAGTGTAGATATGTGTACAAGAATGCCAGAAAGTGGTTTATTAGTTTAGTGTGCCATGCAAATAACAACACATGATTAATCACATTTGGATTCAGTGTGATGTGTAAACCAGATTTGTGTCTCTGTGTGTGCTCTTTCTTTTCTCCAATCAGAAATATTGGGATTACAATTCCTATAACCCCCAAACAATGTAAGTCTGGAAGATAGCTTTCTAATAGGAGCAGGCAATTAAAATATAAACTAGTATATATTATCTCCAATTAGCTCACTTTTCTGCCCAGAGAACCCGCAAGTGGTTAAGTCTGACCAATGACTGGATTTTATGTATTATAAAATTAACCTGGGATTCTGCAGAAAGCGAAAAAGGTGATGCTGGACTCTATGTAATCACAACCCCTTAGATCAGGGGTCTCCAACCTTCGCAACTTTAAGACTTGTGGACTTCAACTGCCAGAATCTCCCAGCCAGCAAGCTGGGTTTCACTGCAGCAGATACAAACAAAATCATGGAGGAAGGCTTGCCCAATTGCAAAAAGTTTGCACTAATGGACAATCACTATCACCATTTATTGAAGGCAAAATGGCGAGTCCCTAACATGCAGGCTCACTTCCAGACAAAACAATGAGTTGCAGTCCCCTCCCCATTTTGTTTTTTTAAGAACATGTACTGGGCCCAGAGCATTCTTGAAAACACTACTGTCCGACCATCCACCCACCCACCCATCCAGTTATTCATTCAAAAGAAACAGAATAAAAATATCAGATGGAGCCAAGAACATTGTGAATGCTAAAACATTTAGTGGGCAAGTTGGTGCTTGCAGGCTTTGCATTGTTGATTTCGGATATGTTTATACTGAGACATCTCATAAATACTGTATGGAAATTCTTTTTTTCTCGTATGCAGATACTAGAGGCAATAGGAAAGGTCTTGACTTCCAATTACTGCATCACAAGTCATTGTGATGTTATACATGACACATCATCCTGTTGAAAAACTTTCATTTTGCTCTTAGATGTTTTCCTTTTGGGCCTCTCGTTTTTGGCACTTACATCCTTATCCTAAAATTCCTGGAAAGTTACATAAATAGGCGCATCAAGGAACTCATACCAGGCCAGCAGTTGATTCAGGGTTAACTTCCCCTTGTTTTGAGTTTTGAACATAGTTATCAGGGACAGAAGGATGAAAGCTGTAATATTTTAGTAAAGAACACACCTTCTGGGAGGACTATCTTCTATCAGAAGTGTGAATATGAGTAATCCTTGACTTACAACAGTTTGTTTAGTGACCATTGAAATTTACCATGGCACTACTTACGACCATTTTTCACACTTATGACCATTGCAGCATCTCCATGGTCACGAGATTTACAGTCAGATGCTTGACAACTGGTTCATATTTATGACTGTTGCAGTGTCCCGGGATCATGTGACCATCTTTTGCGACCTTCTAACGAGCAAAGTCAATAGGAAAGTCAGATTCACTTAACAACTTTGCTACTAATTTAACAACTGCAGAGATTCACTTTTAACAAATGTGTCAAGAAAAATTGTAAAATGGGACAAACCTCACTTAACAACTGTCTTGCTTAGTAACAGAAATGGGCTCAATTGTGATCATGCCGAGAACTACTGTACTTTGTCGCTTGTTTTCCACTGCCTGTTAATGATCAGTGTCCCTTTGTTTTCTGAAAGGGTATAAAAGCTATGCTAATCTGGGTATATATATCTTGATTTATATTGTAGTCCAGAGAGGACAATTCTTTGGAACCAAATTGAATGCCACGTAGGCAGTTATGTTAATCTATATCTGAGGAAACAAGAGTGTTTGTCTACTCCTACATGCCTTATTTACTTAAAAGATTTATATGACCGGACAATTTAAGCAACTCTGGGAGGCTCACAACGGCAATAAAACCAGTAACTATAAAACAATCTCAAAACAATAAAACTCCTGCTCCTTAATCATCCTTTGCGATGCCCCGCAATAAGCTCCAGTTGCTCTCCTTCCATACTATCTATACCAGGGCTTTTCAACCAGTGGTACGGGTACCACCTGTGGTACATTGGCACCTGGCAGGTGGTACGCGACCATCCTAGAAAAGTGGTAGCGGGGGAGGGGAATGAGCTGAACCGGTGGCAGCACCGCACAAGCCTGAGCGAGAGATGGCTGGAGCTGCAGGGCTGTCAGGGCTCAGCGGAAGCGCCAGGATCAGCGCCAGGC